TCCCTTCCCTCCCCTCCCTCCCCTCTCCCTCTCCCCTCCCCTCCCCTTCCTTTCCTCTTAGCGGATGTGTGACGGGGCGTCCTAGAGCGAGACCCAGCGCCTCTCTCCTTTCACACCCGGAGGAGGCCGCCGCCTTGTGCACCCCTGCAGACCTCCGCGGCTGGGTAGGTGAAACATGGCGACCACAGCAAAAAAGATGGGACTGTGAATGTAACAGTTACGAGATAGAGTCTTACATTTTATTGGAATCACTATATGAACTCTACATAGACTGTGATAAGGATGGATATTGTGTTTTTAAAACGACTAAAAATGAATACATCAATCCCTGATACCAAAAAATGCATATTTTAAAATGAATACAAAGATGTAGCTCTAACCACTCCATCTCTTCATCCCCTTCCCACTTGAGAAGGATCTCCCTACTTCCTTTGTTTTGCTCTTATAATTTGAGCTCATATAAGAGAAACCGTGTGACAATTTAAGCTTGTGTGTCTGATTTATTTCACTAACATTATGTTCTCAAGTGCACACATATGCTTGTATAATTAAATGATTCTAGATGACCCATACCAGAAAATGTAAATGTCATATAAAAGTTATACTGTATTGTTTAGAAATTGACAAGAAAGAAAAGTCTGCGTATGTTCAGTACAGACAATGTTTTTACAAATAATTCTGATCTATGTTCAGTTGAATGCATGGGTGTGGAACCAAGATACTGAGGGCTGACTGTACTGTGAGTAAATGTGAGGCAAATCAAGTGAGAAAGCAAGTCTTGTAAGAACATACAGCCCTCGATTTGCATAAAATTCAATTATTAGCAAAGTTAGGTACTGAGGATACATGCATATGTGGTCAATTCTGTATAAATACAAAACAAATACCCGCTTCAAGGTAACCACGGATACTTCTGTAACTCTCTCTGGGGTTTGTTGAAGTGTTTTTAGGTCAAAGGTTCTTATGTTTTATTGTGTTTCTAATTTATATACAAGATGTGCATAAATATTTCCCTACAATGCATTCTTCGTAAGAGTAGGAATCTGTTTTATTCAGTTTACCCCTGGTACTGACAAAAGTGCCCGGCTAAAAGCAATAATGTAGAATATGATCTTTAGAATGTATCAAATATTATACTTAAAGTGAATGGATGGATACATCTCTCCTAGATGTGAAAATACTTAAAAAGAGGAGATAAAAGTAATTTCAACTTTGCAAAGATCAAACTACCCTTGGTCAGACAGGTAAGACATCCTGACCCTGACAACTTTTTATGAAATAATCAAGGGAAAGAGAAGGCAGCAGATTGAAGATTGGCAGTTTGAATTTTAAAAGAAACACAAAAAGAGAAACTCCTAAGGCTATGTATACTCAAAGCACCACTGAAAAATGACTTCCTAAGTCTACAGGAAGGTTCCTTAAGATATTCACTTGAAGACAAAGGCTCAGTAGTGAACTCTACTTTGAATAAAACTTGGAAGTTACAGCTACGCACTGGCTGGCGACCTGGTCTGGGTCAGTGGTGGCAAACCTATGGCATGCTTGTCAGTTTTTAAAACAAAAAATGTTAATGTATTAAAACCTCAGTACACCTATTCGGGGTTAACTGCAGTGTTGGCACCTTATGATAAGTGGGTTTGGGGTTGCACTTGTCTCTAAAAGGTTCACCACCACTGAGTGTGTCCCCCAAAATTCATGTCCTGAACCTCTATGGCCAGTTATAGTGTAAGAGGTGAGGCCTTAGACTGTAATTAAGTCAGAGAGCAGAGTCCTTTGTATAGGATTAGAGCCTTTACCAAACGCCCAAGGTGTCCTTCCGTCCTCCTGCTGTGAGGGTGTACAAGACACCCCTCTGAAATGCAATCAACCTCCTCAGATCCCAACTTACTGGTGCCTCCATCTTGGGTTTTCCCAGCTTCTACAACTGCAAGAAATTCCGTTGACTTTGTCTGACCTTGTCTCAGGTATTGTTACAGCAATAAGAATGGATTGAGATGACTATTTAACCTAGCCTGATATAACCTTTTCTGTCCTGCTGTTGCCATTTCTGCATTAATAAACAAATCTCCACTTGATCTTCACCACCGTGACTGGCCTCTGCAGATGAAAACTCAAGAAGGGCTTTCCCAGGTGCTTTGGCTGAATCGTGTTCTCATCCTCTACCCATCTGGAAAGGCTTACTGTGTGTCCATCAATGTGTTTCCACATCATGAGACACTTTATAAAACAAAGGCACTTTTCCCAGTTGGTCACAGATGGGTCACTGCACACTGCTGATCTAACTTCCAAGCTGTACTGAGCCTCCGGTTCACCTGTAGCCACACCAGGCCCCCTACATCTGCTATGCACAGCACTCTAGAGCCTACACTCTGAGACCATTTTCCAAAGGGAAAGACAGAAGGCACATACATGAAATTCTGCCTGACAAAATGATAGGGCTGTGGAAGATGAAGATCGAGACCCCAGAAGGGGCTTCTTTGTAACAGCTGGTGAGGTGAGGAAGGCAGCTGCCTCACAGCCTGCCTTCTCTCAGCCTACAGGCCAGGAAGGGAGGGTCTCAGGAGCAAGGTCCCATCACACACACAGACACCACTTCCAAACACTGCCTAGCGCCTGTCACCACGCTGTGGAAGGCTTGCATACCCGCCACTGATGCCAAGACAGTTCTCAACAATTTTATTATAGAACAACAGTCACAAGTAGCTTACACAATATATACATGATATTCAAAATATATTACAGCTTTAATTTATGGACAGAAATATCCTTTTTTTTCTTTTTCTTTTCTGTTTTTTTTGCATCACTGATTTGCATTTTCACTTGATCTTGTAACTTAGAAAAGAATGCTTGAGAGGACTTCAGAGCCTTGTCCTTTCCTTCATCCTGCAGTTAAAAACAATACATGCTCAACGTTACAAAATACACTTACATGTGGAAAAAAGTATAACAGGATACATGTCTGTTTTGCACTTATAACAGTACAAACTTGAAAAAAGACCAGAATTACAAAACTCTGCAGCAGTTAGCATGGAGGTATCCCCTACATTCCTGCCATCCAAGGGAGAGGAAGAGAAGCAGGGACCAGGCCTGGGTCACTGTGAAGACCTCAGGGCCCGAGGCCCCTCTCGCCGCCAGCCAGCTGTGTGCAGCTCCATCCCTCAGATGGCTGTGCTTTGCGCCTGGGCACTCCTGTCAAGGGCACTGCTTGTGCTGGCCACCTCTCCCCACCTTACCTTTAACAAGGAGGCTTTGCCAGTTTTGGTCATCTGTTTCAGCTTCTCTGAAGCTACTGCTTTGCTGTGCTTCCCTGACTGATGTGAGTTGCTCTTTTCAAGTGACTTTCTCCGCTTCTCCTTCTCCTTTATTTTCAAACGCTTCTGATATTTCTTTTTCCTCCGTTCTCGTTTCTTGTCTGTAGCTGTTTTCTCAGCAGCTGTTTTTAGATCTCCAGCTTTATTTTTCTCCTATTAAAAAAAAAGTGAAGCACCAACATGCCAGTTAATCTAACCCAACAGAAACTTGGGAATTGGAAAGAGGAAGTTTCAGGAAAGGCAGCCAATAGGCCATGTGTCCGAGTTCTGGTGTGTGGAAGGGAAGAGGAGACTCACAGGGACAGTTCGGACACAGACTAATGTGAAAGCAGCACGGACAGCTAGGCTCTCTGCACACAGTTCCTTAGACAGAAGCCCACTATAACAACTGGCCTGGGTTCCAGGGATGTCTCGGAGGCCTGCTCAGCTCCACATTGCTAATGACAGCCCTGGCTGAGATCAGGGGCTCCCAGAGAGCAAGGGAAGGGAAAGGACCAATTTCTCCCTTTCTCAGCTGCCAGCCCATCCTGCCAGGTCTGTCATCAGCAGAAGTGGCACAGGCTGTGACAGCAGGGGTGGCTGATTTAGTATTTGATAATACAACTATTTTTTAAAACAATACTGCGGGTATTCACACTGGATTAAAACAGTAACTGGAAACTTGAAAAACTGTTATAATATTTGTAGCTACAACTTATAATAATGCTTGCATATAGGAGACTATTTTTATTTTGAGGCAGGGTCTCACTAAATTGCTAAGATGTCCAGATGGGCTTGAATTTATGATCTTCCTGCCTCAGCCTTCCAGAGTGCTAGCATGCTAGGTGTATGCCACAATGTCCAGCTAGGAGACTGGTTTTAAAGTTTTATAACATCGTTAGTTTGATTATTTAGCTGTCTGTTGGCATTCACAGGGGACTGATTCTAGGACTCCCTCGGCCACCAAACTTGTCACATGCTCAAGTTCCTGAATTAAGGGTGTATTTGCACACCACCTACAAACATTCTCCCATCAATTTTAAAGCACCTCTAGATGATTTGTACCATCTAACACAATGTAAATGGTAGGCAAACAATTGTTATACTGCACTGTTTAGGGCATAAATAACGACAGGAAAAAGCCTGTGCATGTTCAATGTATAATCTGAATACTGCTGATCTGTGGTCAGTTGGAACTCACAGATACGGAGGGCTGACTGTACTAAGAGACTGCTGAGATGCATCAGAATGAACACTACACACTCAAGGAAAATTAAAGTACACAAATGGAGGCCCGGCTCTTGTGGACTAACATGCATCAGACACTGGCTTCTTACCTTGATTTCCTCAGGGGCCAGGAGGGCCGCATCACTGACACTCACGGGGGCCACCTCTTCCATGGTTATCGCTGGCAAATTGGACACCACTTTAATCTCTGGCACTGGCTACAAAAGAGACAATGCATTTAAAGGCAAGTCAGAAGTGGTCCCAACATGCAACATATAAAATACTTCATGGAGCTGAACCACTTATTTCTCCAACTGTGCATGACAATTCTGCCACATTCAAATACCAGATCTTTGGCCTGTATTAAACTATTTCCCCCTGCCATGTACATGGACACTCTCAAACAATCCAATGTACTATTTAATAAAGTATACTGATTATAGTTAATATTATCTTGTCTTTAGGGCCGGGGATTTAGCTCAGTGGTTCTGCTGCCTGCCTCACAAGCACAAGGACCCAAGTTTAATCCCCAGTATCCAAAAAAAAATTATCTTGCTTTTGGTTATGGAACAAAAGCTAGCTTTAATAAACATATGGAGGAAGATGAAAGGAAAATGCTTTGGGAATAAGTAAAAATAGAGACCACTTCACAATAAATTTTCTGATCTTCCTGTTATTGGAAACATCTTCATAAATGCAAATATGAAGTGGTGACAGCCTCAAACATTATCAAAATAAACCTATCGATTGTAAAAAGGAGAAAAGAATTCAACACCAATTAGACAGCCATTTGTTGTTTTTCTATTTTTTTGAAAGACCCACACAAGAAACGCAGAAACTAAAACAGGTTTCACACTACTCGCAGTAACGAAAGGACAACGGCAATCATTCAGTGCACATTCACACTGGTATCTGGGATGCCCTGTGAGGGGCACCGAGACAGAGGCCAAGGGAGAGCGACTTTGGACCCCTCTCTTGCCAGAGATGGGGAAAGGCTGAGACACTGGAAGGAGGGGACCGAGACACCACTCACTCCCTCAGCCATGCACCTTCCGATCACAGTCCAGGACGCATTCCAGTTAACTGGGAGACATCTGCTTCGGGAAACTTCGCAGAGAAAACAAAAGCCCAAAACATGACCGCACCCTGGTCCTATGTAAGAGGAAAAAGTCAGAGTGTGAAAGAAACCGTTTCGTCCACTGGACCACTGGACAGTTATTTACTAGGCACATTGTGCACCACTGTGCAGTTTGAAGAGAGATCTGCAGCTAACAGAGACAGTCCAAAAAAATAACACAACAACAACTGAGGCTGACAGCTGGTAAATGGCGTCTGCGAGCTGGTGTGTGAATACTGACCTAAAAGTAAAAAGAATATCAAAGGGAATCTAAACAGCAATTTACATTTCTGAAAAGGAAAAAGCCAAATAGTGCTTTTCCAGTTGAGGCGAGAAGAAACACATTTACTCCTCAAAAACTGAGGTGGTGTGAGGAAGACAGCAGTGGCACAGCAGGCACGTTTCCAGCTGGCCCAAAGATAGTGGAGAACGGTTAACCCTGAAATGCGCACTGGAGCGATGGAAGAGAGGAGCAGAAGGTGACAGATGAGGGCAAGGCACTGACTGTTCTCCATAAGTGGCCGGTAAAAGGGAAGAGCAGCCCGCTGGGCAGGGAAGAGCACTTTACGAAAGTGCTGGGGGTGAGGAGGACCTCAGCCTGTTGAAGGAACTGGAGACCAATGTGGCTGAGGTAGCAAACCAGGGAGCTAAAGGGGCAGGAAGCACATCACATGGAGCCAGGCAGGCCTGGGAAGGCTCACGTCCTTTGCAGCGGAGAGGCTCTTTCACAGTCAGACCTGCTGGCCAAGAGGGGTTGAGATTTCCATCTCTTCATTGCTTATTTTATGCCAGCCAATACGAGGCACTTTGGGAATCTAAAAATGGCTCTTAGCCAGGCATGCTGGTGTATACCTGAACCTTAACACTCTAGGAGGCTGAGGTAGGAGGATCCCAAGTCTGAGCACAGCCTGGGGAATTTAGGGAGACCCTATCCCAAAATAAAAAGGGCTTGGGGATACAGCTTGTGGAAAGGCCATGGGTTCAATTCCCAGTACCATCAAAAGAAAGCTTCTTGTCAGCAACTACGTGCTCTCATGTAAATCCCACTTAAAAAAAAACAAAAAAAAAAAAAAAAAAAAGCAACAAAAGTTAATCATACAACAGTTCTGTATTTAATTATTTGGTTTTTCTGAGACAGGGTCTCACTCCATAGTTCAGGCTGGCCTTAAATTCACTATGTAGACCAGATCATCTTCAACTCATGGTAATCTTCCTTCCTCAGCCTCCTGAATCCTGGGATTACAGGTGTGTGCCACCACCCCTGGCTTTCATTCAATAACTCTTAAGGCACAAAACACTGAAGCAGATACAACTACAGTATTTCCATTTTTCAGATAAGCAAAGCCAGGCTTAGCAGGTAGGAGCATGGGCCCAGTACTAATTATTTGAACTCCCCCATGTCCTAAGCTGTGATTTGCAAGTGAAATAGTTGTATCTTTCTCAGTATTTCGTTCAAGCTCAGTCTGGGCAACTTAGTGACTTAGCAAGACCCTGTCTCAAAATTTAAAAAGGGCTGGGGATGGAGCTCTGTGTGAAGACTCTGGGTTTAATGGCCCCTGCTCCAAAAAAGAGTGAATGTATGATAAGCCAGGTGTCACCATGCACCCTGTAGTCCCAGCTACTAGGGAGGCTGAGGCAAGAGGATAACTTGAGTCAAAGCAACCCAGTGTCTCAAAGATCCAAAAGCAAAACAGCATCAATGTATGTAAAGGACCTAATACAACACATGGCAGGCACTTTGTGTCCACCCCATCACACAATGAAAACGAGATTGAGGGTCACCCAGGGGCTCACTGGAGATCAGGCTGGGCAACTGGGGTTGCAAGAATCACCAAGGACCAGACACAAGCATCCCTGTCACTCAAAGGGAATTACTGGGGGTTTGAATCCTGAAAGCAAACTATGAGCTAGTCTCACGGAAAAAGCTCTGATTAGGGTCGCAGTGCTCCATTCGCACACTCAACTCTTCATACGCTTACCGGTTTCGGGATGAAGTGGAAGTTCGACAGTGCATCTAATTTTAAGAAGAAAAGGTGTCAGCACCGCGATGGTGGCAGCACCTACAAGGAAGACATGGGCTGTGAGTTTCAGAGCTATAGTTAACTATTACCTGACATTTAGAATTTACAACTGAAAACTTCTGTCTGAACTAAGCCACTCCCATAAAGACAGCAAGGAAACAATACCAAGGAAAAATAACAAGTGTCTCAGGGAGGAGGTGGAGAAGTTGGAACCTTCTGCACTGTTGGGTAGGAAAGTAAAATGGTGCGGTGCAGTGACAGCGAGTGTGGCAGTCCCTCAAAGATTAGACAGCATTAGCATTTCTACTCAAGAGAATTAAAAGCAGGTACTCAAATACATGAATACAACTTACAATACCCAAAGGTGCACACGGCACAAACGCCCACCAAGGGAAGAGGGAATACCCAAATTGTGGCATATATGGAGATAGTATTATCCAGTTATATGAAAGGGAGCACTGGTACATGCCACGATCGAAACCATTACACCATGTGAGAAAAGCCCCATCCCAGATGATTCCATTCATGTGAGACACCCAGAACAGGTACGTGCAGAGCTAGGGTGCACAGTGGTAGCTGACTTGAGCTGGGGTGAGGGAAGAATGGGGAGCAACTGCTTAATTGGCACAGGCATTTGAGGTGATAAAATGTCTCGGGACGACACAGAGGCAGTCCTTGCATGACACTGTATATTAAATGCTCCTGAATTAGTCACTTTAAAAGGGTTAATATCATGTCAATAAGGGAGAGGTGAAAAGTGTCCATGTAGATTTCACACAATGATCCAAATATACAGGCACTTTTTCTCCTCTTATTTGGCAGCAGTTTTAATTCTTACTAAAGATAAATTTCATATCTTTTTCTCCTGGACCCAAAATGCTTATTCTAAAAGGCTAAGATAATTTTTGCTTGCTTGATTTTGTTTTTTAATGACACAGGGGAGAAATAAAAACAACCAGGAAGGACTAGCTCTCTGTCTCCATGACAACAGATACATCCATAGATCTGTTTCTGATGTCTGCCATCAGCACCCACAGTCCAGCCATGGCTAGGCACATACTGCTACTGTTTTTTACTATTTTAACCCCACTTTTAAATAAACCCTATTGCACAGCATGGGTAATATATGCCTACAATGCCAGCTATATGGGAGGCTGAGGCAAGAGGATCACTTCAATCCAAAAGTTTAAGACCAGCCTGGACAACACAGCAAAGTCTGTCTCCAAAAAAAAAAAAAAACCCCAAAAAACGAACAAACCCCCTCAAACCACCCTGAACATATATGCTTTCACCTCATCCTAGGCAGAAACAACTGCAATCATATATCTAGTATTTTTCTGACCCATTTTACACATACAACTGTGAAGTCATTTGTTGTTTGCTGTCTGCCATCACCTTGCTTGCCACCTCTCATATAGGCACCACCCTTCAGGAGGTACTGGTCATCACCCCAACTCTACTCAAACATGGAATGAGTCTAGAATCAGTCTAGCTAGTTAACATACTTGAACTCTAAGTCTGCCCATACCCTAAAGCTCAGCTGGTTGTTGCCCTCTAAGAGAGAAGACAGACTATGCTTACAGAACTGGCATAAACTGTTGGATTACCTCTCGTGGTTACCAAATGCTTTTTCCTTTCTGAATCTCTTCAAAAGAGCCAGATGTTCAATTATCACCGCCTGATGCTACCTACATCATCCTTCAACTACTGCCCCGAGTGACAAAGCTGCTGGGAAAAACTTTTATTCAAATATTTCCAGTTCTTCCGTGTCACACCAGGCACCAGGGCACTATTTGCTCTTGCTGCCTAAGTGGCATTATTTAAACTATGAGAGCAACCTTCCACAGCTTTACAGAATCAAAATCAATCTAACTCCTAAGCACACACTGACCCCATTCCCAAGAAATCCAATGGGAAGCAATAATTCAATACTTAATCTTCTGATTCTAATCTCTGACTAGAGATTACTTCTAATGTCTAAAAATCAGGATGAACTCAATCACACAAAACACATCAGTAACTTCAAAATATCAGTGAGAAATTACTTCAAAGTTATAGCACTATGCTGGGAAGTTAACAGCTGGCTGTGCAAGGATTAAGGTGACCACGAGATGTCTAATTGCACAGCAAGCTCCCCACCCCCACATTCACTGAGACTATGACTCCCATGTCTAGTGTGCTCTGTCTTACATGAAGTGACCAAAGAGCTCAGGACTTGTTTCAGGATTTTAAGTCGCAAAAAGTCTACTCTTTCTCTTCTCTTGATTCTTTTCATAATAATAGCTTTGCCTTACAGGCCTCCTTACCTGGTTGAGTTTGATGTATTCCTGTTCGTAAATTTCAGCAAGGCTCAATTTACTCTTCTCATGGTCTAATGTTAAGCGCTTTTTATATTCAAAAGCATCCTCTTTAGGTTTTTCTTTACGTACTACATCATCCCAAGCCTGAATGAAACAGAAAGGGTGGACAGAACAAGAGTTAACAAAGCCAGTAATTTACTCTAGACCCAAGTAGGTCCCATAGCAAAAAGAAAGTCATTTTCAATTTCAGATATAATTATTCAAGTCTCAAACGATATGCTTTAAAAAAAAAACAACGGGGGCGGCCAGAGATACAACTCAGTGGTGCCATGCCTGCCTCCCAAGCACAAGGTCCTGAGTTCAATCCAATCCCCAGTACCGAGAAAAAAGTAAACAAACAAATAAACAAACAATAAAGGCATTAACTCAAATATCCTTTTCTGCTTTTGTATTAAATGTCCCTTTCCTGGTCACCAATTTTGATCCCACATTTCTTCATTGTGCCTTGTCTAAAAGTCTTGTGTTTATTTTATGTCACTGCAAATTTTAAGATAGTCTGCATTTAGTATCCTCCCCTCTAGACGCTGCTATTTTAGGCACAAACATGTAAGCAAACATTACACACAAATTTCAAAGCTATTCCTTACTGTGCATGCCATACACCTAAATTTGATTCTAAATTAGCAATCCTGTTGCTCAACCTTCAGAGCATCTGGGACTACAAGCACACTCCACTGTGCCAGGTCCTTGAGCCCTAAGGCTTTTAAATGAGGAACACTAATCAGTGGAAATAAAGAGAACATTTTTCTCCCTTCCCAAACACTCTCATATTTCTAAAACTTTCAGTGAAATTTAAGTGCAATTCACTCTTGCTGACCTGATCTCTTATCCTCTGTTTGATGATGTCTTCTAGTTGGAAAGTGGTTTCCTCTGTGATTACAGGTGCTGAAGAAAACATAGCATGCATTAATTAGGAAGGTATACAGTATGGTCCTTGGACTTGTAGCACCGCAAAACTTACTGGAAATGAAAATTCTTGGGCCAACCACACAGTATCTGAACTAGAAAGCAGGGGTGGGGGATAGTTATTTGTATGTCAATAAGCTTTCTGACATTCCCTCAAGTCTGAGAATCCTAAAACTGGAATACAGACAGTGTTAACTCCTAGCACTTCTATCCTACACACCTGGAAACTCTTTCCCCTCTTTTCCATTCTCTCTTTCATTTCAATAAAATGGAAACTCATTTGGACTTAATGGGTTTAAAAAAGAATTTTATGACATCATCAGGGTTTTGGACTGAAGTTCACAATTTAATCAGGAGACTGCAACAGAATAAAAGCCTTGTAAACAGAAGACTGAAGCTCAGTGTGTGGCCCATGCCTGTGATCCTGATACAGTGGGAGGCTGAGGAAGGAGGATCACGAGATCCTCCCAGCCTAGGCAACTCAGCGACTTAGAGACCTTGTCTCAAAATAAAAAGTAAAATAAACAAATAGGGTTGGGGTTATAGGTCAGTGCAAAGACCCTGGGTTCAATCCCCAGCACCAATGAAAACTAAAACAATAACTCAAACCACTGTGAGAAGTCTGATTATGGACTATATGTAGGACTTGCTAGTGTGTCCATTTCCTGAAGCTATTACCACTATTAATGGTTCTCAGAAGATGTGTGCAAATGCATTTCACAGTTGAGTGCTAACACTCACAAACGATCCACGGGGAAAACCAGGCACACACACAAGCACACATATGCAGGACAGAGAAGGCAACCATGTGAAAATGTGAACAACTGGTAAATCTGGTTTAATGACCTACAGACGTTCACTGTACTATTTTCCCAATTTTTCTGCGTGTTTTAAAGTTTTTAAAATAGGGGAAGAAATATCACCCAAAATCTATGAAATGGAACCACCAAAAAGCAAAGAAAAAGATTTTGCAGAAGCCCAGCAGACCCCATACCCATCCGCACGGCATGGTCGAAGTGCAGGGTCTCCTCCAACAGACTGTTCTCAGGTCGCTTCTGTGCCGTCACTTCCCCCTGAAGCTGCCAAGGCTTCTTTTCCAACAACTCTTTCTCTAAGGACGCAATTTTTTCATTCATCTAAGGAAGAAACAAAAGAGTTATCATACATTTATATAGGAAATTTTACTTGTGTAAAAATAAAAAGTATTTTAAAAAGTGGGAGAGCAAGAAGTGTGCTATACCTCAATGCAATCATTTTGTTCTTGCCACCATTTTATTATACTGATAACCTATTCCTTCTGCCTGAGCCAGGGTGGGCTGCAGACCGTCTTTTCCCCACTCACCTGAAAAGCCATGTTTATGAGGTACTAACCTCCCCCAGAAGCATTGAGGTATATTTTTCGGGGATCTTCCTAGTCAAATGATCTATCTGTTCACAAGTCATTGTCAATTTTAATTATTAGAACATTCTAAAGTTAGACACTGAATGAAGGTAAACAATGAGGTCAATAAGATTATGTGGCATTATTTCCTCATTGCACTATTTCGGATTACAGTGGCAGCTCGGTTCATGAACTAAATTCTTTCCATGATTGTGATCACAAACCGAACTGCAGGAAAATTGAATCAGATTCAATGGTTAGCTTCAATGCTGACCTTGTGGGGAAATCTGATTTGGTTCTTGTCCAATTTGGTTTGCAAAAAGAATCAAGGAAAGAATTAAGTTCATGAACCGAGGCCCCGCTGTATTCATGAGACTGTCTATATGCATACGTGTGTGGGTGTCTACTTTAGTGATACCTTTGCCAGGTTCTGTTCTGTGGACCTGGGGATTGAACCCAGGGCCTTCACACCAGGCTACATCCCCAGCTCTTTTACTTTGAAATAGGGTCTCAGTAAGTTGTCCAAGATGGGCTTGGATTTATGATCCACCTGCCTCAGCCTCTTGGAGTGCAGCAATTACATGCACTACACCTTTTCTATTGCTCAAAGGCTTGCTAATATTTCACAGCAAAAGCAAACCTTTCTTTTGGTGTGGGGAGGTGGTAAGAGTGGGGTGGAACATTGGGACACTAATACATTACAAATTTACTTTGTTTTATGGCACTTTAGCCTTTCTCTTTTGGGGACAATGTGACAACCATGGGTTTAATTCAGATTCTAAACTTTTTCATAATTCTTTTGCTATCTTGCTATCATCCATTATCTACCTATTCTCATTGTAACTGCAGTATAATTTTTAGGAGGATAAATGATAGTGCCAAATGATCAAAGCCAAACTATATCTATTAAAATCAGATTACATCTGTTGGGCATGGTGGCACACACTTACAATCTTAACACTCTGGGAGGATAAAGCAGGAAGATCACAAATTCAAGCAAAGCCTGGACAACTTAGCAAGAACCTATCTCAAAATGAAAAAAGGGCTTGAGGGTGTAGTTCAGTGAGTAGATGCTGGGTACAACCCCGAGTACCACAAAAAAATAAAAAATACAAATAATAAACTAAATGACACTTCACTGGCCTGATATCATGCCATAACAATATGTTACCAACTTTGGAAGACGTTTGTTTCTCTCATTTTCAGACAGGGTCTCACTCTGTAGTTCAGGCTGGCCTTGAATTTACTGCCCATGCTGACCTCAAACTAAATGCATTACTCCTTCCTCAGCCTCCTAAGTGCTGAGATTGCAACAGTGAATTACCACATGTGGCTGGGTTTTATTTTTTGGCTTTCATTAAAATTCAAGCTATATGACAACCACAAAAATTACTGTGGAGTACCCTAAAGAGAAGGCCAAAAATTTTCAGGGCATCTGAAACAGGTGTAAGGGGAGATTCACAGGATGGCGAAGCAGGACAGACGTGTCCTAGGTCTGAAGGTCCAGCAACAAAGAAGCAAAGCTTTTTTTTTTTGATACCGGGGATTGAACTTGGGTCCTTGTGCTTGTAAGGCAGGCCACCGAACCGCTGAGCTAAATCCCCGGCCCCCAAGTCGAGCTTTTATACCTGATTCCCAAATGAAAGGTACGGACTAGGAAATCATATGCTTCTGGCATGCCATCTAAATGTAGCACGCTAAAGAGTGTAGCTACAAAAAAAAAAAAAAAACAACCAAAAAACGTATTCACTCTTAATTTCTCAGGCTGGGGATTTAGCTCAGTGGCTCTGCCGCCTGCCTCCCAAGTGCAAGGACCAGAGTTCATTGCCCAGTACGGGGGGGCGATGAGTGTAGCTACAAAATTTTTGTGTTTAAAGACCAGCTATGATTTCCAACGGGAAAATTAAGGTAGAATAGTTAGTCTGTTAATGGTGAAGGGAAAAGGAAATAAAGGAAAAGAAAAAATATGAGAAAAGGAAAAAATGGAAACAAAGTCTTTGTAAATAGGGGAGTGTGGAGGGGGTGAAGGGAAGGCAGGGGTATGGGGAAAAAATGAGAACCAAGATCTGTCATGTAAAGGTACAAGATCCCAATGATGAATGTAAATGTACTGTATACCTAAAATGTACCAATAAACTCAATGAAAAAAAAATAGTCTGTGAGCTCCACAGTCCTATTAAGCATATAAAAAGTTCTTGAATTCCCAGTAATTACCTTTTCTTGTCTTTTTTCAAAAGAGGACTTAATTTCATCAGAATCTTCCTTTACATTTAATACATCTGTATCTGTATTTTCCTCATCATCTGGCAAAGCAAAGGTCACTCTTTTTGAGCCTTCTTTATGTTGTTTACCATCTTCACTTTCTTCAAAGTCATTATCTTCATCCCTAAGACACCAAAATGCTTATCAAAAGAGAAACGTCACTTTTCAATAGGGAAAAAAAACAAAAAACAAAAAACTTCAATAAAGGCCTTATACTTAAAGCCACCAAATAGTTGGAATTTTCAAAGCCATTATCAAAGAGTAGAAAGAATTACTTAGGTGAAATGCCACATTAAAAAAACAGAACAAAATTGTCCAATGCAACAGATATTATTTCATGAATCTATAATAAAAACTTCTGAATTCACAAGAATACAGAGAACTGTATTGGCACAAAACCGAAATCCCGGCGCCTTCCCTGTAACAAAGGCTTGGCTGCCACTGCCAGTGGTATTTTTCTCTATTAGATGATCTTTAATGTCCCTTAAAATCAGAGACTTGCTTTTGGCTACCTTAAAACTATCTCACATTAGAGAATGTACTATTTGACTGTCTAAGGCAAGCATATTTGATAATTATGAATAAAACTGCAGGATTGGGCAATTCCAATTCATAATGTAGATTCAAAACACTCATAGCTGGGAATTTAGCTCAGCAGTGCCACCACCTGCCTTGCAAGCACAAGTCCTGAGTTCAGTCCCCAATACCAAGAAACAAAAACAAAACACTCACGTTTCAGAAATGCATTCTTCATCTGCTTCTTCTTCAACATTTTCTTCTTCTTCTTTGTCTGAACCCATCTCACCATCATGAACATTTGATATGTCTTCATCACTCTCAACTGGATCAAAGAAATCTTTGTATTTCAGATTTCTGGAACTTTTAACTGACTTAAATAAAAAGATGCAAGAAACATTTAATTAAATGTAGAAAAATATATAAAAACTTATGTATACACACACACACACACACACACACACACACACACGTTTTCTAACTTTAATAGCACAAGTTAAATATAGTTATTAGGGAAACTAGCAACTAGTAACACTACCATGAAACCATAAAAACAACTGAGACATAAACTAAACTAAATGAAGCTTGGATCCATTTATAACCAATTAAATAAGAGCACAATATTCTATTATCTCTAAATGTTCTAACTAAAATTATTTCTTTCTTTTTCTTTTCTTTTTTTTTCAGGGATTGAACTCAGGACCTTGTGCTTCTGACACTGAGCTAAATCCCCAGACCATAACTACAATTATTTCTAAAACAACCCAGTCTAAATGATGTACTAAGGCCTCTCACAGTTATTTTCAGTGTTTGGAGAAAATTCTGATCCCTTAACAAATGGTTATACTTTTCTCTCTGTTTCTCTCCCAAAACTTTACCTTAAGTTTTTGATTTTCAAACAGTCCTCCACCTTCATCAGAATCAATATCTTCAAAAAAGTCAATATTTTCTTCCTCCTCCTCATCTTTGTCTTCCTCTTTCTGTTCCTCTTTTTCCATGGTCTCTAAGAAGGTCTCCATTTCAGAGAGTTTGAAGAATTTATCATCTACTATGGACTTTTCTCTCGGTTTCCTAGGCAGTGTGTTTTGAACCTTGCTCTGTTGTTCCAATTTGCCGATATCAAAGTCAAGATCAGAATCTTCATCACTGAAAACTGGGCTTTCCCGCAGGTCAACTTTGCTCGAGTTTCTAGCTCTCTCTTCCCCTTCAGGACCACCACAACCCACATCTGACATTTCCTCTTCTTCCAAGTCTTGTTCCAGGTCCTCCTGGCCTTCAGCTTCCATCTCTGAACCATCCTCTTCATTTTCCACTTCTTCATTCTCTGGGAGAAGACTGATGCCTTCATCTTTAATTGTTGCACTAACTGCATCCTGGAAGTACTGTAGAACTGGTTCATTTTGCAGTTCCAGTTGTTGCCAAATCTGCTCATCATCAAAATTGTTTATCACAAGTTTTTGTAAACGACTTCCAGGGGTGCTACCATTCTCCACTATTTTATTAAAGTCATAAAGAACTTTTGTTAAAGAAGTGAAGTTTGATGCTAATCCATCTTGAATCCTATTGAAGGGGATTAAATGATATAAAATTACAGATAATTCCATAGCAATCTGATTTAAAAGAAAAATAGCCAACTCTTGTGCAAAAGAAAATTTTAGGATAGATTCTGGTTCCCAACAATGTCTTGTTGCTGAGCCATACTGATCTCATATGAAAACTGTCGACTAATCTGAATCTGCTCTACAGATTTTAGGCAAGAAAACAATTATAGAAGCCAGATGTGGTGGCGTGCCCCATTTGGGAAGCTGAGGCAGAAGGATCACAGGAGCCAAGTACAAGACCAGCCTGGGCAAGATAGGAAACTCCACCTCAAAAACAAAACAAAACAACCATTACAGATCTATTTCCCAGAGAAATACTAGTGAGTCAGCCTTACATTTTCAACTCTGCTACATTATATACCGTTCCATTCATTCAACCCATCTATAGTCAACATTTGCTTTGGCTAGAGTGGTTCAAAAAATCCGCTCTGTGGATGGGATGTCTGAGATGAGAACTACGGACACGGAGATTCTCTGTTACAAAGACCTGAAAATGTGTTTGGGGCAAAAGAAAGAATAAGAGCAAACTCCCTAAGATGGAAATGAGCTTAGATATCTTCAGGAACAGAAAGACCAGCATGGCTGCAGTGCAGTGAAGGAGACAGGCGGTGAGGTTGGAAAGGCTAGGAGGAGCCAAATTATGCAGTGCTCAAAGGTAAGAGTTTGCCATTTTAAGTGTAATAAGAACACACCAGAAGGTTTTAAGCAGAATGAAATGATTTACATTTACAAAAGATAATTTGCAGAAGGAAAGAATGAAGGCTGAGGGACTAGGAGGTGATGCAGCTTTCCAGGCAAAGGAGGATGGAAATTTATGCTGAAGTCAGAGCAGTAAACATGGTAAGTAAGAGTCAGATTCCAAATATAATTTGGAGGCAAAACTGAAAGATGTACAACAGAGATTGAAAAAAAAATCAAGGAAGTAGAGTGGTTCTGTCTGAGGAAGTGGAAGGACAGAAATGCCACTTAACTGAAACAGGAAAGGCCTTGCCAGTGAGACATGTGAAAATGAGTTCGGGGGAGCGCACTGTATTTTGTTTTTTCTTCTAAAGTTCTGTTTTGGACACGGTAAATTTGAGATGCTGAGAGCATGTAGCTGTCCGTAGACGCCCTCAGCACAAAGCGCAAAGAAGTGGTCAAGGTTTGAAAATACAAACCCGTGACACAACTCTATAGATCCTTTATAGAAAATTTTCAATAAAATACGTACAAAATGCGTGACATGGGAAAATAGATCACAGTCCCAATTCTCAGTAAGCTCAGTCCGAGGGGCGCACAGATCAGCAACAAGTTTCTACTTTCAATACAGTTTGATGACAGTGGGCAGTGGACGCTTTAGGGCACAAGTTTGGAAAGAGCAACTAACACCGTGTGTTTGGAGACTGGGAAAGCAAAAGCCTAAGGGAGGCCTCCCAGCATTAACAGCTGAGCTTAGTTTGATTTCGAAAGCACACAACTGAGGGATCTGCTCTGCACAGCTTTCAACTTTTAAAAAAATGTGACAGATCACGGGAGCCTAAGTCTGAAATCCGGAGAACTGTGATCCACACTCCTTTCTCCCCCTCCAGAATTTGCTGGGCACTTGCAACCCAGGACTACAGATAATTATCTGTGCTGCCCTCTGAGCCCGGGATCGGCGTACTCACGTGAGGAAACGCTCCGGTTGCTTGGTGGCTTTACTGATCTCTTTCAGACACCTCTCCAGGGTCCGTCGACGCCAAACCGGCGGAGCCATTGCTGTCACCAACTCCAGGAACCGCGCCACATGCTCCGGAAGAGGGCCGAAAGGAAACTGCAAGGTAAAGGTTCCCCTGCAGCAACCTGGAGCCCAGAGCACAAGGTTCCGCGTAGCAAAGGTTCCGGGAACACCCACGGCCAGAGCCAATGGCAGCACAAGAATTATCGCTGGGCGTGCGTATTGGGGCGGGGCACACGCCTTTGAATTTTCTCCTTTTGCTCTCTTGGATTCCTGAGAAGTCACCTGTGATGAGTCCTCGTCACTTGACGTTTCTGGTTTAGATGCAACAGGGGGCTTCAAGGATTTGGCGGTGCAGCAGAAGAAAGGGCGGCTTCCAGCATTCGCCACGCCCCGAGCCGCCCGACCCCGCCCCACCCCAGGTCGCCCCGCCCTGGC